GCGTAGTGGCCCAGGTGCTGACGCTGCTGGACGGCATCCACGGAGACCGGGAGGTGGTAGTTGTGGGAGCCACCAACCGGCCAGACGAGTTAGATCCAGCGCTGCGCAGGCCCGGGAGGTTTGACCGAGAGGTAAATAGCCAGCCCTGGTTACAGCCCCTGGTCCCTGAAGCTCGCCCTTTTGGATAGCTGGGTCTGGCGGGGTTTGTAGATGTCTTGGGACTTGTGTGCCAGAACCTGATTATTCTAGAGTCAAATCATTCTGGGAAGCAGAATGGTCATTAGCTTTGTTGCGCGTGTCATGAAGTGAATGATAATAATAATGTTAATTCTTAGGGTGACGAAGCTTGTTGCAAGCATATTAAACTGAAATAGCTTTGGAATGAGAGCTTAGTTACTGTAAGAGAAGGCGGGAAATGCTGATAAAAACAGGCATTAGCCTCTAAATGTATTCATTCCTTGTCAAGATACCAGCTTCCTATTATACAGTTGACTTCCTGGGTTGTCAAGACAGTTGAATATTCAGAGCTGCCTTGTTTTTGAGTTTTGGTCCTCACGTCATTTTTTAATTGCTAAAGAATAGTTAGAATAATTAGTAATTAATGTGAATTTTGTGGTAGGACTCTATAGAGAAATACTTGCATACTTGTTGCTTAACTCTTTTGAGGCCTTGAGTAGGTTTCTTGCTCTTAAAGGCCCATCTTCCAAAGAACAAGGATCTGGATTATCTGGCCAATTGTGTGATCCCTGTCTGCCAGAACTTGGTGTGTTTTCAAAAAACAATTTAGACTTCTTCAGTGAAATACATACTTTTCATTGTTCAAATTCCCAGCCTCTGTGCTCCATTAGGCAACTAGTATTTTCTTATATTCAGAATCTAAGGTGTGCTTAAATGTTCATGCTACAAGTTCCAGAATGGCTTGCTGAATGACTGTACGCATTTGTGAGGATGCTTTTAAAGAAAGGTTTTAAGTTGTATACTTTTAATTTTTCTATGTTTGCTTTGCCTGTAGGTTGTCATTGGGACTCCCACACTTAAACAAAGAGAGACGATTCTGCAAGTGATTACTTCAAAGATGCCCATCTCCAGTCATATTGATTTAGGTCTCCTGGCAGAAATGACAGTTGGCTATGTTGGTGCTGACTTGACAGCACTCTGTAGGGAGGCTGCCATGTGTGCTCTTCTTAAGCATGAGAAGGTAAGAAGTGTTAACTTATGACCAGCTATGTTCATCTTTCCTGGTAATGTGACAACTTAATTTGGGGGTTGAAAGAAGTGGTAAGTACAGTAACTTCCTTGGCATGGTTGGTAGTTTCCACAGCTGTTTTCGTGTGTGTGTGTGTGTGTGTGTGTGTGTGTGTGTGTGTGTGTGTGTGTACATACATCATGTATACAAATTTATCATATATATTTACATTTCAGTGCCATGTTAATATATGTTTGATGATGAGGAAATGGCTAAGTCTTCCAGTAGGTCTCTCAGTGAATTTTCCTCACTGCCACAGTAACCCCCTAGTACTAGAACCCAGAGCCGACAGGAAAAATGGTGTCCCTCAGGAAAATCTGACAGATTTGAATTCAAAATTTTTAAGCAGCCACAGAAAGGTGAAAAACTAGAACTAAGAACTTTGTATCGCTTTTACCTGGATAACCCAGTTGTAACATTCTACTGTATTTACTTTGCCATTTCTTTCTTTACGTGTTTGAGTTTGCATGTATTTATGCTTTTCTGAAACATTTACAAATACCCCACAACCATGATACCACAGCAAGAATTTTAGTCATTGATGATTAACTTCAAAGTTAGCTTTGATTTCTAGAATAAGATGGTATCTATAAGATTTCTTCACTGCCAAGACACTGATTTTTTTTCCCTTATTATTGATAAATATCTGTGGGAGAAATAAAATTTTCTTTTTTTAGACCAGGTTGCTCTTGAACTCAAAGAAATCCGCCTGCCTCTGCCTCCCAAGTGCTGGGATTAAAGGCGTGCGCCACCAGCGCCCGGCAGAAATAAAGTTTTCTAATCCAAGAGAAATTGAGTACTTGGAATTGTATGTTATTCAAGATTGTCACTGATTTCCAAATTTTAAATTCACAATTACTTTTAAAATATTTAGAATTATCTTAAGTGTTATTTTTTCAATACTATTAATTTAAAAATCAGGTCATTTAGTATCTGATAACCAGTGTCCCTAAACCTCTTCAGCAAATACTAATTTCAATGGCTTAGGATTCTGGGACTTTTCAACGCCATTTATAGCATCCTAAATTATTTTCAACTAAATAATTTATATCTTTCCTAACTTTTCCATTATTTCCATTCTAAGGTGGGAAAAAGATGTATGAGCTTCTGAGTCCTTATCTTAATGGATTTGGTACCAAACTACTTAGAGTTTTCATGAGCCCCTGTGTAAAGGTGTGAGAATGTATGCCCTTTGTGCAAAAGGGTGAGAGTTCCAAAAAAGGGAAGGGAGGCACATTTAGGATTCCCTCTGCTTTGATGTTCCAGGCTTGATCTTAAGCATCTCTGGCTTAGGTGGACCAACCAGCTCACTGCTGCCTGAGGAAGGGCCTACCTCCCTACTAAGTCTAGTAACCACAGGTGATGGCTGAGTTCAGAAACAACCCAGGGGAAGTGGAAGGAAGAAGGGACAGAGACATCTGGGAAGGTACTGGCTCATCTTTTTTCCTCCCACTAGGCAGGTGAGGGGCTCTGTCTGTACCAGGGAAGACAAGGAATCCATTAAAGTTTTTCTGAAATACTCCAATTAAAAATTAGGAACATAGTTTAATAAATATAGGAAGAAAGAGATTTGTATGCCCAAGGATGAGGAGAGTCAAGTGAAATGTCAAGTGTACAAGTGAAATTTTCAAATGCTGGTTGATATTATCTCAAAATTAATTAGTATTTGGTGCTCAGGGTCTAATACTGCAAGCCAGTGAAGCAAAGAAACAACAGAAAATGGTGGTGATGTGTCCCTAAGTCTTTTCATCAGCTGTGACAGAATCAGCAGATAAAAGTTTGTCAAAGTGTGTCTCCGTCACATTCATGCCTGAAACTCACCAGGACAGCAGAGTGTAACGAAAGTGAGGCTTGCCTGAAACATCACCCTAGAGATGACAGATGCCAACATTCTTAGATAACACTGTTCAGAATAGGTCTACCATAAGTATCCACGCCCATGGTTTTATAGAAATGGGATCAAATAGCTGAAAAAGAGAATTTGTAGACAACCCAATACTTAGAATTTGATGTGAAGGCAAATTACTTAACAACAATACAGGTAAATGGAAATGAACTTAGGAACTTTAACTACTCAAAATTGCGCTTCACTAGAATGACCAAGAAAGTCCTAAAATAATACCCGTTAGCAAGAAGTTGGCCTTTGCATATAACAAAAGCCAACGAGGATGTGACTTGCATTTGGAGATGGCCAAGCAAGCAAACTTGTAAACTTAAGGCTAGGGGAAGGGCTTCCAGCCCATTGCCTTCATAGGGAAGGAACATTTAAAGACAGTTAAGGCAGGAGCAGCACACTGAGAGAAAAGTACAGACGGAACCTGGACAGTAAACACCGGGAAACATGAGAGTCTGCTTAGTTTCTTTAGAAGTCCTTTCCTTTTAAGTTCTTTTTTTTTTTTTCACTTTATTTCTTAAATCATTTTGATTTTATTGGAAAGTTGCAAAATAAACAACTTTAACCAGACCCTTTATCCAAATTCATAGTTTTTAACATTTTGCTAAATTAGCATTATATTCTCTTGTCCATTGTGTGTTTCTGTCTGTATGTGTGTGTGCATGTGTACATGCACTCAAACGCCTATTTGTGTATGTGCATGGTTTTTTATTTTATAGGGGCTGCTTTTTAATATGAGATTTGTGACTTTGACATGAGTGATTCAGGTTAGTTATTTTGTGAATGGTCAGATTCCAGATGGGAGCAGTACACAGTCAGGATTGTGTCTTTACCATGTGGAGGCACGATACCCTTCAGCTGCTCATTGGTGTCACCAACTGAATGGCTACCAGGGCACTGTCTGGTTCTTCCATGGAGCTATTGCACAAGGAGACACTCTGAAATGTGAAGATGTCCTCTCATCAGTGTTCTTACTCAGAATAGCTTTTATAGAAAGTTGCAAATACCAATGACTTTCTAATTGTTATTTCCTCTATTTCACTGAATTGAAGACACTTAATTAACACAATGTTGAGTGCCATTTATTCCTGTCACATCCTTGCAAGCTTAAAGATTTGTTAGAGTCCTTGGGGGAAAACAGCTTCCTGTACTGGGGGAGCAGGAGGGGCTCTGGCTTCCTTAGAGCACAGTCCATTAACAGCTGTAAACCTGTCACCTCGTGAGCTCAGTGCTTCCGCTTTGAGGAAATGGTTGTCTGAGATGCTTGAACTTGAGAGTAGTGGTAATTAGATTTATATGTTCAAAAGAGTTTTTTTGTTTGTTTGTTTGTTTTGTTTTTAGATCCTTATGCTTGTATACTATAGAAAAGGCCTACCTAATTTTTGGCTTTTGGGGGTATATTTCTTCAGAACCAAGATGGTCCTAATATTGAAGAAACAGACTTTCTTGAAGCTTTGAAAAAGATTCAGCCCTCATCATTTCGAAGTTCTATTGGACTGATGGACATCAAGCCTGTTGGCTGGGAGCAGATAGGGGGACTTGAAGATGTGAAGCTGAAGTTAAAGCAGGTAACAGTTACTAATCAGCTTATCCCAGCTGAATCCCAGAGTAGCATTCTGTGTCTATAATGAAAATGACATAATCAAACTGCACTTGCCATCTTACTGCTCATGTGGCTTAGTCTTTATTGGACTAGATGCCTGTAGACACCAAAACCTTTTTTGTGCTTCCCCATCTTAAATTTTTGTTTTAAAGAGTTCATTGTAATCTAGAACACAGGTAAACAGAATTCCTGTAATAAGCTGGATAGTAATGCTTTAATTTTGAGACATGCAGGCTGTCACAGCCATTCATTTGCCACTACTCTAGTTCCAGGCCAAGTAAATGCATTTGACCTGTGTGTCCTTGGTTCTGCATCTGTAGATTCAACCAGCTGTCCAAAAATACTGTATCCACTGAACAGATCCAACTGTGTACATGGTATTTATATTATTTGGGTATTATAAATGATAGAGATAGTTTACAACAAATGGATGTAGGTTATATGCAAATACTGTGCTATTCCTCCTGGGTGCTGGGGTTTGAAACTGTGCGGAGCCTTTCTCATGGGCTTGTCTCATTTCACAGTCAAAATATTAATGCCTGAGAGGCATCAGTCACATTCCTTTGTGTTCTAGTAACCTGGCTGTGGCCCTTTCTCTATTTTCTGGGCTCTTCTTCCCTTCCCTGAAATGTTGGTGCTCTAAGAGGCTCATGGTCATCTTTCTTTAAATTCTTAAATTATTTTCATTTTATGCATATTAGTATTTTGGCTTTATATGTATAGGTACCACATGCATGCCTGCTGCCTGTGGCAGTCAGAAGAGGGTGTCACATGCCCTGGGATTGGAGTTATGAATGGTTGTGAGCCACTATGTGGGGTCCTTTGCAAGAGTAAAATTCGCTCTTAACCTCTGAGCCATCTCTCCAGCCCAGGCATCCTTTCAGCAGTCCAAGGTGATTGTCACAGTATCTAAGACTGTTCTTAGCTGTCCCTTGAAAAGTCTTCAGTAGACTTTTCTTGAGGTCATCAGGACTCCTTAGCTGTCTGTCTGCTGGATAACCACAGAGTTGTCAACATGCCATGTCCAGGGTCCAGTTAATGCCAGGCATAGGGCACATGCCTTTAATCCCAGCACTTGGGAGACAGAGACAGTTGGATTTTTGTGAGTTCGAGGCCAGCCTGGTCTACATAGTAAGTTCTAGAGCAGCTAGGGCTACATAGTGAGATCCCATCTCAACAAAACAAAACAAAAAGTAGAGTCTAGCTAATCAACGCCAATTCCACACCTGAGAGTTCCCATCAGGTAAATGCAGTCAGCCTTCAGTTCCCTGTCAGAAGTATGGTGCCAGGGCTTTGTGAAATGCAGTTCCTTATGATACAGTGACGGGTCTGTCTTACCATCTTCATTGCCTGTAGTACATCCAGCCTTAAAATTTTGTGGCATGAATCATTCATTGTGAGAGATCTCTGACCTGACTGATTTCCCTGCCTCAGTTTTCTCTCCTTCCAGATCACTCCACATATTTCTGCATTGTCAGTTGGAACTTGCAAGACCTGTATGGTCTGTTTCCACTTCACCTCCATTGCGTCTGCTCACTGCTGCGACAGTCAATTCAATTGTTTCATGTATCTCTTTTTGTAGTATCCCTTCTCCATGGAGTGCCTGTTTTGGCCTGGTTGTTGGTTTAAAAGTCTTTCACTGAGAACAAGCCCTCAACTTCCATTCATTTCTTTCTTGAGGCCACTGTTGGTTCTGCTACCTCACTAGCAGTAAGTTGGACACTCACTAGTAGTAAGGCTCACAGTAGCTCTTAGGGAGTTTCTGAGTCTGTAAAATGATTGTAAAGCCGTTTGACTTTGAGATGTTTAGGACTACTTCACTGTTCAGTAACATTTATTAAGTGCCTGCTTTAGGTAAGTGTTATTCTGGGTGTGGAGGATTGAGGCATGAACTCTTCTGATTTTGTAGCAAGAGCAGAGTGACCAACTCAACATGGAAAAAGAATAGTAATGAACCATAAATGTTCTAAGTAAGGTGGGTGGGCTGTGGCTGGGAGAAGGGGTCTCTCTTCTGCCCAGGGTCCTTGGGGAAGACTTCTCTAAGCAGTAATTTGAGCTAAGGCTTGAGAGATAGAGAATAAGCCAATTGGGACTGGAGAGATGGCTCAGCAGTTAAGAACACTTGTTGCTCTTGCAGAGGATTGGGTTCATTTCCTAATACCCATATGGTAACTCACAACCATGCATAACTCCGGTTCTAGGGGATCCAATGACTTCTTCAGACCTCTGCAGCGACCAGGGCATGCACATGGTGCACATACATACATGTAGGCAAAATCCCCATACACACAAATTAAAAAATAATTAAAAGTTTAAAAAGAATAGCTACAGAGAACTGCTGGGAGAATATTCAGGTGTAGCATGGTAACCCAAGTGAAAGCCTTTGGATGCAGATGAATCATGTAGAGAGGACCTAGTTCCTGGGCTGGTGAGGACAGGAGGCTGTTTCATCTTAGCAGGCTCTGGGACGTGCCGGATGAGGGGAGCGATTTGCCATGTGCCTGGTACACTAACATCTCTCTGTCTTCTTGCCTATTACAGTGTGTTGAGTGGCCTCTGAAGTTCCCTCAGGAATTTTCTCGGATGGGTCTGAAACAGCCAAAGGGCCTTCTCCTCTATGGTCCCCCTGGATGTGCTAAAACCACTCTGGTGAGGGCCCTGGCCACAAGCTGTCACTGCTCTTTTGTGTCAGTGAGCGGAGCTGACCTCTTTTCACCGTATGTTGGAGATTCAGAAAAGGTCTTGTCTCAGGTTTGTTTATTTTTAAATATCCGCTTTTTTCCCCCTAGTTGTAAAAGTTGTATATGCTTACGTTTAAAACAAGGGCCCTCTTAACCCGTAATGGATCCTTCCACCTATTACTACTGTTTTGTGCGTTTCCTCTCTGATTTTGAATAAGGTCTAGGTGAGCTTTTACCATTCTCCAATTTTATTTTTAAATTTTGAAAATCATTACATATGTGTGTGTCCATGTGTGGCATGTGCACTTGTGTGTCGGTGCTCACATAGACCAGAAGAGGATGCTGGGTCCCCTAGAGCTGGAGCAAGGGATTATGAGTGGGCACTAGCAACTGAACTCAGGGCCTCTGTAAGAGCAGTGAGCACTCTGAACCCTCAGCCATCTCTCCAGCCCTTGTATCTTGGTTTTTAAAGTTAAATTTTTGTCATTAGGTGGGTGTGGTGGCATATTCCTTTAATTCTAGTACTCAGGCGACAGGGACAGGCAGATTTCTGTGAGTTCCAGGCCAGCCTGGGCTGTGTAATGAAATCCCATTTTAAAAGAACGAAAACAGCATTGTCACTTCCTAAATTCCATGTTAAATATCTTTTAAGAAGACAAGTTTTTAACCACTATCATTGGCCCTTGTTTTACTTACTAATTCCCCAGTTCTTAAGCACTTAGAATCTTCATTTTCCTGTTTTAATGATTGCAAGTAGCAAAATGAAAATAGTCACCGGAATGGCGTGTGACGTTATGTTTTTTTTCCTCACTAAGGTATTTCGACAAGCAAGAGCCAATACTCCAGCGCTTGTGTTTTTGGATGAGATTGACTCAGTCTTGGGGTCTCGCTCAGTCGGCACCTTGGGATGTGATGCTCGGGAGCGAGTTCTTTCAGTTCTGCTGAATGAACTCGATGGTGTGGGAGTTAGGACGGTAGAGAGAAGAGGGAGGAAATCAGACCAACAGGGTAAATACCAGGAGCTCAAAACACGAAGCGCTGTTTGTTAGCCAGAATGCACCATAATTCCAGGCCAGAATTAAGTAGCATTCCTTCACGGCTGCATTTCCTTAGGCTGAATTCATCTTACGCAGGGGTTTATATGATTTCACTTGAATTCTTGGGACATTTTAGGGCTGATAAAAATTGTGATTTGGGCAGAAAAAGTGGAAAGTTTTATAATTATCATAGATGTGATGTATCTTAATGGAGAAGAGAATTTATTCTCTTGTGTGCATTCCTGCAGAAGGCTGTGTGTGTGAAAGGAAAGGCTAGCCCTGACAGGCATTTCTCCATGTGAGAACTGAGGAAGAGCCAGATGGAAGAGCAGCTGGCTGGTGCCCAAATCACTCAGGCACCCAATGGATGGCAACTATTACAAAATAAACTAGCGCTTGAGTAACTTCAGTAGTAGAAAGCAAGTGAGCATGGCTTGGAGTCCTCTGCCTCTGTGAGCCTCTTCTTCAGATAGAGTGGTTTTTTGTTGTCCTGAGCAGGCCATTTCTGATTTTTATTATGATCATATTCCTGTTTCTTTCCTGTCTTTAAGATTATTCCACAGAAGGAGCTTTTTAACCACTTAGCAGACATAAATAAAACACACTGTAATTAGAAGGGACCCATAATAACCTGATCTCATGATGCAGGGATTCCTTGTACATCAGCCCATTAGCATGCTGGGAAACTTGGTGGAGAAACACTTAGATTATTCAACTCAGTGAATGGTTTTGATTTTAGGCCTTGCCGTGTCTTGCTTTTAACCGTCTCTTCTTTTGGGCTGGGGATTGTATGTGGTAGAGTGACTGTATGGCCTGAACAAACCCTGGGTGCTATCCCAGCACCACGCAAAGCCAGGTGTGCTATTACACAATGGGAAATCCAGTACTGGGAAGTGTGAGCAGGGGAACAGAAGTTTAAGGTCTTTTTTGTTAAGTAAAGAGTGTTGGGATAGCCTGGGTACAGGAGACCCTACCTCAAACAAACACATCTTGCTTCTCATCCGGGGTTTGCATAACTGCAGCTCAGGTTAAATTGTCATTATTTCTGCCTCTGGAAAGAAAAATGAAAAGTAAATTTCCACCTTTGGGAGTATTGAAAGCTAGACTTTCCAGAACTATACGTGTCTCCCATTAGTCATGCATTCTGCCTTTGTAAGCAGCCTTTTATAGTTGTCATTCATTGAGTGCCTAAGTGGACTTGGACACCAGCCAGGTGCTCTTCCATCTGGCTCTTGGTCAGTTCTTACATGGAGAAATGCCTGTCAGGACTAGCCATTCCTTTCACAGACACACACACACACACACACACACACAGAGAGAGAGAGAGAGAGAGAGAGAGAGAGAGAGAGAGAGAGAGAGAGAGAGAGAGAGAGAGAGAGAGAGAGAGAGAGAGAGAGAGAGAGAGAGAGAGGAAGCTCTTCGGTTTGTGGGGTGGCTTAGTACCAAGAAGGTGACTGGGATGGCAAGTAAGCATCCCGGTTTCAAGGAAAGGTTATTACTGTTCAAACACAGCACATTGTCATGTGTGACTTATTTGAAAGGATTTTAATAAGTAACAGTTTGTTGACATTACTTTGTATTGTATGCTTTTCCTCAGAATACCAAGAAATTGTTAATCGGAATGTCATGATTGTTGTGGCAACAAATAGGCCTGATGTTTTAGATGATGCCTTGTTACGACCTGGAAGGTTGGATAAGATGATCTATGTCCCCCCTCCTGATCAAGAGGTAACCACTGCACTCGGCATGCATCCATGTCTGCCTGGGAGCATGTCTGCCTGAATTCAGAGTGGGTGCGGCCGGACCTTCCACTCTGCTCTCACTGTTCAATGCTGGTCTCCAGTTCTCTGTTTGTTGGCTCTTCATGAAGTCACATCTTTGCCTGTCCATGGTGGGTCCCTGGTCCTGCCTTCAGGAACCATGCCTAAAAGTGACTCCAGTGCCTCAGCATTGCTGGGGGCACTGGGATGGAGGAGGCATTGAAAGGGCTTTGGCAGTGTCTGGGTCTGCAGGAACTGCACTGTGTCCAGTCAGGAAATCCTTTGCTCTTAAACACTCAGAGCAACTGACGATGGTGAAGGGCTCCAAGAATTTTTCCTTCCTTGGGGTTTTATCAAGTTTAAAGAGGTTTTTTTTTGTTTTGTTTTTTGTTTTGTTTTTTTTTTAAGTAAATGCCTGATGCTTCTATATGTATATGATAATTCATGCGTTTGTTTCTAAAACTGTTCTAATAGCACTATTTGTTCCCCCAAAAAAATCATCTTGTCTCATAAGGAGAAGTGGTTATGATTGGCTACTTCAAAAATTAATTATGAAAATACTTGTTTTACCATTGCTGGGTGGACCACTGATGACTCAATCTTTCTGTTTCAGAAGCAAGAGTGATTTTAATTGATTGAATATGAATACACACACATGCACACCACATATACAGACACACACACCACACACATGTAAATACATACACTACACACATGTACCACACCTCACACACGCAAATATACCGCACATACACAAATACACACACTACACCACATACCACACACACACACATTTTGTAATATGCTAAAATATTTTTTTTTTGAACTTAAAATGTTTAACATTAACCAAATGTCTTTGGTTTTGTTCCAGGGCAGGCTTTCTATTTTAAAAGTCTGTACAAACAACATGCCAATAGGGCCTGATGTTTCATTAGAGAAGCTAGCAGCAGAAACATGTCTTTTCTCTGGAGCTGATCTTCGAAACCTCTGCAAAGAAGTAAGTTTGTACTGTTTTATTTCGAGTCAGGAGTCATTATAGGTTTTCTTTTTCTCTAAACGTTACTAAGTATAAAATCAGAAGAACACATAGATTTTAAGGATATAATATCGAGTGACTGTAAAGTGACCACACTTTTATAACTGCCACTTGTATCAGGAAGACATTATTGATTTTCCAGAATCTTCCTTGGGTCCTTCCTACCCTCTGTCCCCTGCTGCCCTCCAAAGGTCACCACTCTGCCCACTCCTACATTGGAGATGCCTAGCAGCTTTTGAGTTTTGAGTTTCTTCACTCTGCCATGAAATTTGTCTATGGTGGGAGCTTAGAACTGCATCTTGGGGAATTGCTGGGCCAGAAAACATGTTGTCCTTTCTTTTACAAGCAGTGCTGTGTAAACTTTCCTACCTTTGGGTCAAGATTCCCCTCATCTTAAACTATATGTGAACTCAGTATGTGTATGCTATTCTACAGTTTGCCCACTTAAGGCTGGATTTTTAATGTACAAAAAACTATGGTTGCCGGGCATTGGTGGCGCATGCCTTTAATCCCAGCACTTGGGAGGCAGAGGCAGGCAGATCTCTGTGAATTCGAGGCCAGCCTATTCTCCAGAGCGAGTGCCAGGATAGGCTCCAAAGCTACACAGAGAAACCCTGTCTTGAAAAACCAAGAAAAAAACAAAACAGCAACAACCAAAAAAATATATATATATATGGTCTAGGGTGGATTTTTAGTCACCTTAACTTTTAGTGTAATATGTTTGATGCATTGAACTCCTTTTTGTGAGACCAAAGATTTACAACTAGATTGCAGTGTTGATGTTACTGTTAGTTTTAAAACAAAGCAAATTAACCGTTCTCTCTTGCTTGTCCCTGTCACCAGGCTGCCTTGTTTGCTCTGCAAGAGAACGGACTGGAAGCAACTACAGTGAGACAGGAGCACTTCAGAGAATCTCTTAGGACTGTGAAGCCATCCTTAAGTTGGAAAGGCTTGACTTTATATGAAAACTTATTTAAGAAAAGACTCTCTAACTTGGAAGATAATTAAATTTTTATTTCATTTAGTTTTTTACTTGCTTGTGGTTTGCAACTTAACACTTTCATAGGAGAGAGAGACTGAGAGAGAGAGAGACTGAGAAAGAGATTCTGGGAGAGTGAGAGAGAGAAACTAAAGAGACTGAGAGAGAATGAGAGAATGAGAAACTTCACCTGATTAAAAACTGTTTTACCTCTAAACAGTAGAGGTGTGTGATTTTGTTAGTTTATGTGTTTGTTAATTATTTTTGGTTGATCTCTTTGTGACTTTGAAGTGATATCATGCTTACAGAAAAGTTGCAGGAATAGAACAGAGGACTTAGCATTCTTTAGCCCAGATTCTCCAATTTAGCATTTTGTCATTTGTTTTCTCACCTTCCTCCCACACACATTGTTTTCTGATTAGTTTTGAGATCAGAATACAGTCATGCATCAACCAGCTTGGGGAATAACACTTAGAAGTGTGTCATTAGTCAGTTTTGTCCTGAATGTCATAGAGTAGTGTGCTTATTCAGTCAATACCGCGACTGTACCACCAGGTAAGATGTCTTGGGATTTCACTGTCATACATGCCTGTCACTCAGACATTTTCTGACTCATGGCTCTATGTGCATTATAGCTAGTGTTTAGTGGACGTGTCTTACAATAAAATTGCCTCATACTACAATTCAGTCACCAAACTCAGGAAGTTTAACATCAACACAATATTTTACTGTATTCAGTGAAGTTCTCTCTTTGTCCCAGTGAAGTCCTACATAATCATCTTTTTCTGTCAGACAATCTAGTCTGGGATTACACATTGAGTTTAGTTGTCATGTTTCTTCCATGTCTTTACTTGGAAACAGTTCTCAGTATTTCTTGGCCTCAACATCTTTGAAAAACACAGACCAATTTTTTGGTAGAACAGTCAGCCCCTAGTTTTGTGTTTGTCAGCACTTCTTTGGGTTTAGGTTTTGTGTCACTGATGGATTGTTCTCAGTATCACCGCCGTAGGCACGTGCTCTCTGCATTGTTGGTGATGTTCACTCTGATCACCCAGTATTATTTGGTTTCTCTATTGTATTCTTAACTTCCCCCCGTTTTGTAATTATACGTAATTTGAGGCCATAGATGTGTCTGTATGTTTTTATAGAAGCAATTAAGAATTAAAAACACATGGGTATATAACCTTCCAATCCTTGACATTTTTTAACCCCAGAAGTAATGATAGTGCAGTTTTTTACTACTTTCCTTACTAGCAGTGTACAGGGATTACCTTAACTGGACCATTCCTCACTCAGAGTGACATCTAGATGCCTGTCACCAAAATGCCCAGGAAATGGCAGAGTCTGACCTTTGTCATCCTGTGACTCAGTTTCCATGATCAGAAGATTGCTCTGGACAACTTCCAAGACTATTTTAAAAATTGGTTTTATTTCTATTTTATAGTATACTAAGTTGGGTTTCAGTCTCACACACATGTACTTTGTATTGCCATTCTTAACCCTTTCTTCTCACTCGCCTACTCTGTTACCCCAAATAGTCTCCATTTCACTTTCATACCAGAACCTTTGTGGAAAGGGAACAGTTGGACTGGGAAGCATGTCAAATATTGATGGTGTTTATTTTCCCCTTGAACTGAGCTCAGACTGCTGGAGCCTTAGTTGTTGACCCTAGCATATAGAATTCCTGGAACTCCCAGTATCAAACCTAGTAAAGGATAAAGCAGCCACTGAAGGGCAAGTGACAGGATCAATGCAGCCTACTGTCCAGGTTGGGCAGAAAGAGTTTCAAACAATATGAATGTTCTATTTCTTCTGGCTGGAGAGATGGCTTAGCAGTTAAGAGCACTGGCTGCTCTTCAGAGGGTCTGGACACAATTCACAAACACCCACATGACAGCTCACAACTGTAACTCCAGTTCCAGGAGATGTGACATGCTCAGGCATATAGGCAGGCAAAACATCAATGTTTTGCCTAACATAAAATACAAATAAATTGTTTAAAAAGACTTACTTTTCTCATGAATCCTGGGTTGGGGGTAGGGAGCTGAAGTTTAGATTACATGGGTGAAAGCCAACCAACCATGGGTAAATGTGAACCAGTTTGCCCTAGCCAAAGAAAGCTCTAAGTGTCTAGCATTTGGAGCTAGGGAGACAAAGCTTCCTCAAAGAATTGGCAAGGTCACAGTGTTAGTCCTTGTGCTCTGGTAGGAACTCTGGGGCCTGCCAGAGTTTGGAATGTGAAGGGTGGGAGTCATACCTTTTTCACATCCTAGTCTCCCAGGCAGCAGTGGCCAGGTGCCCCTCCTAGATGCCAGTATTCAGTGTTTGTGAAGCAGGGAATCTGTGCTCTAGTTTCAGTAAGTGAGGCTGAGTTCTGTTTTATTTGGGAAAGGGTATTCTGAAGAACTGAATGATGAACAGTTCTAGATTGTTCTGCCCACAGCAAACTCAGAAAAGAGCAAAAAATATGACTCTTTAGTCATACACCTATTTTGTAATATTTATTGAGCAGATAATTTAATATTTAAATTGCTGCATTTACCTAAGTAAGATTAGTGGTTAAACACAAACCACCCCAAACTGCTGTAATTCTTGAACCCAAGAGAAAAAAACAAATAACTTTACCCCTGCATCTTTCAGAATTCAATATACCTGGGCATTCATGCAAAAGGACAAAAATGTGGCTTCCTGGATCTGTCATTGCTACAAGTAGAAATGAGCATATTTTAAAGGTTATACATATGAGCACATCTATGTGTAAATATGTATTTCAATTCCTTTAACATTTTATTCTGGAAACTTGGAAACATAAAATAGAAGGATGTGACAACTTTCCTCACTATCTGGCACCTACACTGAATGATTAATACTATGGTGAATTGTGAGCAATTATGAACATAGATGAGCATGTATCTCTGCAGTAGGAAACAGTCCTTTGGATATATACCCAGAAGTGTACTGGAAAGTGCTATGTAGGCTGCTGGGGTGGAGTGGGGGCAGGGAGTCATCAATGGCCTTCCCCAGCTGTGAACTACAATAATGACCAATGTGTGAGACCAGCCTGGACTATGTTGTAGTAAGACCTTCATGGGTGCAGTAGTGGCACTATGGAGCTAACCAACCATTAAAAAGTGTGGATTTAAGAAATTCTAATTGGATTTAAGATCCACTCCACAGAAGGAAACCCACATTTGATACTGTAAATCTGGCCAAGAGCCTATAATTGGGAAGTTCAGAGGCCCCAGGAGTTAGCCTACTATGTTTTCTATGCTAAGTAGACGTAACAACACTGCCCTTTAAATCTATCTCTCTCCTGATAGACCTCAGAAGAGTTTCCTTGTGCAGTGGACAGTGTTAGTGCAGAAACCCATAATTGGTTAAAAAGCAGAGGCTAAGTTGTCAGTTGAATACTAGCCGAAAATGGGACATCTATATTACACCCTCCCCCAGAATGAGTGAAAAGGGAGAGGGGTATAAAGAACCAGAGGCTGTGGGGAGCTGGAACTAAGCTGTCTTCTGGACATGACAGGACCACTGCACTCATGGACTCGTGGCAGCTGGGTGCCTCCATGGACCGGAGGAAGATCAAACTGATCAGCAGTTTAGAATGGAGCTGGAAGGAGTTCATGACTTCCCACCCTTCCCTGGGGAGCTATAGACAGTTGATGGCTTTTCCGAAAGGGAAAATCAGTTTTCGTGTGGCCCCCCCAGCAGGTGACCACACTCCAATGGAGGACCTCACACCTCACTGTGTATGGGAAGCACACACAAAATCCCACCAAGTTGGGAGGGCAGGGAGGTAGGAATGGATCTGGGAGGAGAAGTGGTGGTGAATATATGATGAACATACCTTGAATGAGATTGTCAAATAATAAAATAAAATTTTAAAAGGTGTTCTTTTTTTGGTCATTTGCATACATCTGTGAGTCCAACACTCAATTGATGGGATCTTAAGTTTGAGGTCAGCCTGGGCTATGTTGTAGCAAGATGTCCTCTACCCCCCAAAAAGTTTCTTTACTGCAGAAGGGTTTTGGAAATCTAACCCAGGCTACAGGATCACCCAGCTTTCTGACATTGTGACATAATACCATCGTCTGTAAATGTGTTGGGCTATCCTGCAACTCAGGGTTCAGGGGACATAGGCTGGACACCCTAGTACGCCCTAAACTAGGGTTTTCCCACTGAGACACAGCTTCACCCTCAGCGTGATTTTAAACAATTTTTAAAGCACCAGGCTTGTTTAACTTAAAGGGTGCACTAGAGTGCTGGTGTTAGGAGTCAGACTGCCACTCACTGTCTGCATGAGTATCTCTGTGTCTGCCAGCCCTAGTTGCTGAGTTAGGGGGGGATCCAGGGAGGAAGCCAACAGTCGTAATCCATAGCAGAAATGGGAACCTGGAATCTTCTGCAATTGAATCTTGTTTCTTTTCCCTTACCCCCACCCCTTTTTGGACAAAATCAGGACACTGTTGGAGTTAATCTAAACTTTACAATTTGCTTTTTAGCAATCTCCGTGTGTGTGATGTGTCACGTTTTAGAACTTTTATGTGCTTGAATTTGATCAAATTTACCCTGCCCTGCACCTAGCATTCTCTCGTGGTACTCCGGGAGAGGTGGCAGTCAACTCTGGAACCCCTGTCCTCCCTTACCCCTCCATTACTTCCTTTTAGAAGGGCTGGGTGTCTTTCACCCAGGCTTTGGCCATCACACAGGAACCTGAACCTCCTAGACTTTTGTGGACACAGGACCCGACTGTAAGCCATGGGGACCTTAGCAGGGACCGCAGGTAAGGACCGCGGTCAGCG